CTTTCTCCCCCACATCCGCGCCATGACCGGCACTGCCTACCACCACCTCCGCAACATTGCCAGACTCCACCACTGCCTCACTGTTCAAGCTGCCGAAACCCTCACCCACGCATTCGTCACATCAAGGCTCGATTACGGGAACTCCCTCCTCATCGGCCTTCCCAACTCTTCCCTTCACAGGCTGCAGATCATCCAAAACTCTGGGACTCATGTACTCTCGCGCACCAGGCTCCATGACCCCATCACTCCCACTCTCACCCGACTCCACTGGCTCCCCATCCTCCAGAGGATCAAGTTCAAGATTCTTGTCCTCACTTTCAAGACCATCCGTGGCCTTGCCCCCTCCTACCTCTCTGATCTGATGACTCTCTACCAACCTGCCCGCTTCCTCCGTTCAGTGGGCTCTGGCCTACTCCATGTCTCCCGTCCGACCTGCCCTACTATCGGTGGCCGGCCTTTCAGCCTCTCTGCCCCCATACTCTGGAACTCCATCCCATAGTCCCTTCGCCTCACTTCCTCCCTTGTCTCCTTCAAGGCTGGTCTCAAGACCCTTTTCTTTGATCGTGCCTTTGGTCGCCCTCCCACCTCTCTGCCTTCCCTCACCCCTACACCACCACCCCCTCATGCTCGGGTTTCGACACCTGACTATTCAGCGCTTTGGGATGTCCTCCCGATGTGAAAGGTGCTCTATAAATGTAATTTTGTTGTTGTTGTTGTTGTTGTTAAGAGAAGCATTCAAATAGTGGTCATAATAATAATAATCCTCACAGTTGATATAGGTAGGATGGCTCAAAACGCTTCACAGCAAAAACTGTAAAATTGAATGACTGTGTATTTTGTAGGTGAATGCAGCAGCCAATTTGTGCACAGCCTTATCCCCCAAACAGCCATGACGTGAATGACAAATTGTATTTATTATTTGGGGGGATTGTTGGCCAGGATGCCAGGAAAGACTCCTTTTTCTTTTCTGATATTATCATGAGATCTTTAACGTTCACCTGAACAGGACCTCAGTTTAAAGTCTCATCCAAAGGATACACAAGAATGGAAAGACTTGATGCTAGCTGGACGTTGACCAACTTATCTCTAACAAAAAAAACCTCTGCTAACCTTTCTAGGTAATGACTGAGTATACCTGGGGCTTTGTTTCCAAATGACACACAGAAACATAATCAGTCTGGATAATTATGTTTATAGAGAAAACAAAACTCTACAAATCTGTACAACATGGTATTTCCTCTAAGATAGAAAGCATGTGGTGGCAGGTAGAATTTAGACAATGTAATTTCTGGAAATAAATTAAACACAGACATGACTTTGGGAGAAGAAATAAACTTTGGATGTGGGTTTAGAATTTGTCATGAATGGGGACCCTTGCATAGAACAGATGGAGGAGATCATGTGCCATACATATTATGAGATACACACTTAATAAGGAACAGTGTCCTGAATTGACACTATTAACCATTGGCTGATTTATATCTGTGTAGACTTTGATCAAATGTGAAAGCATTTGTTGTTCAAGCTGCGCAACAAAAATATATACAAAATATAAGGAGGGAATTTGTGATATTTCATGACAGATATGCTCTGATAATTCTCACATCAAATTTGTTATGTAATGTTGCACAATTAGCCCCATTGCCTGCAAACCTCTGGAGGAATTTCCAAGCATTGGTGATACATCTCCAATCCCATGTGTTATTTTCAAACAAAATATTTCCTGTAAATCCAAGAGATGGGACAAAATGAAATACATATGTTTTCAAGTATCCCAAAGCTGTTGGAAGTTACTATGAAGTAATGCCCCCCATGTGTATTCAGAAAATTGCTTCCCACCACTTTGGTGCAATATAATTTACACTGTCCCTGCAGTTTGAGCAAATCTGGCAAGTTGCCCACTGTCTCCTAGGAGAGCTGTCTGTTGATACACAATAACAGTGATATTACAAATATGCAGTAGTATAATTTCTGTTCCCTCTGATAATTATGTGGCTCAGGAATACTGTTAATCGTAAAAAAAATTAAAAATTAAAACTTAAAACGATGTATAATGAAGTGATTAATGTAAGCAGCTAGTGTAGCTGTCTTCTAAGAGTGGTTTTACATTGTGTGCACAGGAATGGATCATCACATAGTTGAGTGGCATTCACTTAGATCTTTTTAGGATATTATTTTCATTGTGTCTTAGTGTGTGCCTTAGTATTTGCAGGGAATTATTATAATTTGTGGAGTCCTGTAGCTCAGTGGTTAGAGCACATGCCTTGCAAGCGAGAGACCTGGGTTCGATTCCCAGCAGGGTGAAATTTTGGGCAGGTTTCCTTACTCCACACGCCTGATAATAATCCCTCAAGAAAAAAAACAATAATAATTTGGTCACTCAATCCACAACTGTTTGTGGGACACTGCTGTGTGCAATTGGCTACCGCATTTCGCCCACAAATATACAGTCAATTCACCTTACAGTATATTCTGTGAAGCGCTTTGAGACGTCTAGAAGACGTGAAAAGCGCTATATCAAATGCAAGGATTATTATTATTCACACAACTATAGTCTTCTCAGCTGTGAAGTTCTAGTGCCATCTTCATACTCGCTTGGGCTACTTTATAGGATTTCCCACAGGACAGAGAATATTTAGTGGACAGCAGAATAGAAAAATAACTGCATGTGGAAGCGTGTACACATAATTTGGGGTTATTTCTGACCACAGGATCTTCCCAATGATTGTGGTTGGGGATACCATTCACTGGCCAACAAGCAAAAGCACTATGCTGCGTTGTACAGGCAGTGTGAGATGCTCAGTCCACCAGCAGCCAGAAAACAATGGCTGACTATGAACAACTAAATATTTCACCTTGTTAGATGGATCTCAGATACTTTAGAGGCTGCAGCATCAACTTGTTAGCTTTCCAATGCTGGCACTGGATTTGCCATCGTTAGCATTGCTTAAAATAAATGGGGAAACATATCCTATCACTTTAATACCCTTATACACTAATATTCTATACAAGAGTCAGGCTTGTATTGTTTCTTTAATATATTTGGCACTCTGAGACACTATTCTGCAGGAAGGACAGTAAATAAATACAACTTGTTGTTCTTCAATAGAAATTACTTAGTTTTGGAACATTTAGTAATCATTTTTATGCAGATTATTTTTGAGGTTGCAAATCTAAAAATAAAAACTCCAGATCTCAAACAATTAATATTCAAACTACCTTAATAAACACAAGCAGAATGTAATTTCGTGATTGTAAACGGAAAAAATGTATATGAGAACGTTTTGTCAGTAAAACACAACATTTTCTATGGATAACAGATGGCAGTCAAATGCTAAGTTCTTAATGCATACATATTTGCACCACAGAGATTAGGAATGTCATATTATATACTATTATTAATGTACAGCATGACTTCTGACACACTAAAGTGTTTAAGTCATCATTACATGCATAGCACTAGGAAGAACAGCTGCCCACAGCTCAAGTAAGTTTGTGAACTAATCCCCAAGGTGGTTTTCAAATTTTTTTAAAGTGTTGTAAGACTATTTGGAATTTGGTCGAGTGGATTCCAGAGCATGAACATCATGAACCAGAGCCTTTTCCCAGTAAAATAAAATAAAAATGTTGGTGGGAACTTCGGTTGTTGCAAGAGTGCTTCAGAAATCAACAGAAATTGATAAAACTACTGTGTGTGCGGCAAAGCAGCACAAGCTGCCCTCCAATTACAAATGGTCCACCTCTATCAAAGCACCACGTACAAAATCTCAGAAGTGCAACTGCAAAAAGTATTAAAGAAAATAAAAGCATCAATGTCAATAAGCATTAGTGGCCAGTGTGGCAAAAAGAAAAGGAAGCTTAACCCTAGAGTGAGGAATATAAAGTAAAAACCCAGCTCAATTGATAGAATGTTGGGACACTTCTTTTTAAAAGCATAATGCATTCTTTTTGAAGCCTTGTCAAGCAACTTACACAAAACTGTGAGGTATCCAGGGTTGAACTCTGAAGTCTGCTGATACATTTACTCAATAGCAGGTAGATTGTACAATGGTCTGAACTTCATGAATAATTTAGAAGAGAAGCAATTTTTAATCAGTCAAAATTCAGGCTGAAATGGTGCATTCAAAAAGTGTAATCTGTGTAAACTAGAAACTGTCACTGCACATTTGTTCCACTCGGTATCTGACAGGTCACTGTCTTGACACGGAAAAACTCATGTGACCTTTCCCCAATTTCTATGACATACAGCATATTTTTTCCATCAGAGACCTCTGTGTCACCGACTCTGCTGTTACTAGTAAATACAATATAGCTGCAAAAAAATTGGATTCTATAATAATGAACAGCCATAAAGGTCACACACATACACACACAGCTGCACAATTTCAACTGCATCTCCAGCAATCAATTGCGATTATTGTCATCGGCTCAATCCCACACTCACTATCACTGCCCTGCTGAATTCTTGTGATGTGAACTTTCATGCAGGTGTTTTCATGGGGACAATTCTGAACATTTAGATTGCTATAAGGTAGTTGTATTTTTCAGAAGATTCAAAGCGAAAAAAAATTCACATTTTTGCTGGCGGGCAAAGTTGTCTTTTTCACAAACATTTGGTCCTACATAAACTAAGAACATTATTTTCTTTCTTTAACATTGTGTAAGTGCACGTTTAGTAGGTTAATATTACAGAAAAATAGGAATGGAGAAATATACAAAAAGGAATAGATTATCAGGGTCCTTCTGACCAATATCATTTACTAAATACCGTTACTCTCTAACTCTCCTAATGCCCAATGCAGCAGTTTAAAAAAGGCATTAAGCACACCTGCCAGACATAAATATAAACATAAGGGGTTATATCAATTTTATGGCTGAGTCTTAATTTTTTTTTAGCTAAATAGTTTTCGTATTTCACCAATTAATTCAAGATTAAAAAGACAAGCTCAATATTGACCTCCCTGGCTGCCTCTGTTTGCATTTGCTTCCAAGACACTTACCACCTGCTGAAAGTTAAGGTTGTCCATCTTGCCGTAGCAAAGGTCTAGAAGAGTTAAGGGATGTTTTGTCAGATTCCTCCCAGACATCAGCCATGGCATGGAAAGATTCTCGATACTCGTTGCCTAAAATAAGAATTTAAATATTAAAAACAGAATTTTGAACAGGCTTGAATTTTGTTTGGAATACAATATACATTTATATTTGGAATACAATATACTCCTTTCACATCAGGAGGATGTCTCAAAGCGCTTGACGCTGCTAGTTGGGCACTCAATCTGGGGATGGGAGCCAAAGAAGGTGGGGAGGCGAAAGTTAACTCAAAGAAGATGTCTTGAAATAGGCCTCCAATGAGGGGAGGGAGCAAGTTGGAGGAACTCCAGGATGGATGCAGAGAGTAGGAGCAGAAAGGCTGAAAGCTCGCCTTATGGTGGGGCAGAAAGAGTGGGTGACACGAAGCAGGCCAGCGTTCACTAAAATTGGAAATGGAATTACAGTAAATTCAAGCTGTGCTAACATCCTTTTGGTTATGTAAACAGTGTAATAATAAAACAAGTTCAACTGAAACACAAATAGAGAATGTAAAAGAATAAATCAACACATTTAAATCCGATTCTTTCTAGCACTTGCATTCACACTAAAAAAGTTTCACTTTTAGCTTTATATTGTTGTGTCAGGTTGACTCGGTTTGTAGCACTCTCTTCACTGATTCAAGCACCTTGTCGGGATCATAGTCTAAGCTGACACTTTAATACAGTGCTGAGAGTACGATGTATTATCAAAGGTGCTATTGTTTGGATGAAACATTAAACTGCGATCCTGTCGCAGTTCCATGGCACTATTCGAAAGAGAATTGAATTTCTCCTGGTGTCCTGGCCAACAATTCACCGGATAAAATTGGCAATTGACTTAGTACATAATTAAGTCAATTGCTAATTTTATTAGAGAGTTAATGGATAATTAGTTGGGAGGTCAAGTTTGCAGGGCTATGAGGAGAGAGTGGGGGAATGGGATTGAATTGGATAGTTCTTTTCAAAGAGCTGGCACAGACACGATGGGCCAAATGGCCTCCTTCTGCAATATATAATTCTATGATTCTATGACTTCATGGCTGTTTGTGATCAAATTGGCTACTACAAATTTTCTTACAGACTTTACACTAAAACCTTGTGAAACACTTTGAAACATTTTGATGATGTGATAAGGCATTGGATCAAATGCAAAGATCATTATTTTATAATGCTTATTTTCTAACTTATCATCACAAACCATTATGAAGTAATGCAGATTTCAACCCCAGGATATTTTAAGCCGATAATAACTAATTAAAATGTCTATATTATAATCTACATCCAAATATTGATGAACTAAATATGTAAGAATAGATTCCAATGTACTGTAAGTAAAAATGGCCTCAACCACTGAATATTTGGAAAAAAGTCAAATTATTTTTTTCTGAAGTGGTCAACAAAATTTTGCAAGTATTTCTCTGTTCATTCAGCCATCAAATTATTGCTGAACTTTGGATTTTTTTTGAAACAATCACACATATCATGGCAGAGTGACAGCAGCAAATGTAAACCAATCAGTCCATTGAGAAAACTGAAGTTGAAGGATTGCAGTAGTATTCAGCAAAAAGTCACTCATTAAAACAAACATTCGCTGCATCTGTATCTGAACCTCTGCGTAGAATTTAAAACAACTTTTGTATTGTTCTCATTCTGAGAAAGCAGCCAGGTTACAAACAGAACTGAATTTCTCAAATGTTAACATCCTGAGATGTGGATAAAAATGCCACAAAACAACAGAATATCAACTATAACAATGACTGAATACAAAAAATGAAGAATGCAAAAAATCCCTGTTCTGAATAAGTTTATGAAAATTTACAAACCTAATACTTTTAATAGAACACTTTGTCTTTGCATTTGCAATTAACATAGTCTTTCTGGCAGTCAAATCAGTTTGGTTTACAGGACACAACTTGCAAGAAACAATTTTTCAAAGTACTTTTATTCAAATAACAGGATAAAAATAAGAATGATTAATGTCCTTTTAAAATTAATGTTCTTTTACAAAAAGAAAATTAACATGACTATAGGTCATAGAGTTAAAAGGCTTAGATAAAGGCACTGCTCAATGTAATATTAAACTGTCTAGGCCAGAATGCCACAAGTTTGATTTGTAGTTCTGCTTGGGTTAGCTGATGACATCAGTGGAGAAGAGTGTGTGTGGATGGTGTTTATGTGTGTGGGGGTGGTGTGGGGCTAGGGTAAGGGTTCCTTTTCCTGATCGTCAAATCTGGAAAGTTTGGGGTTGGTGGACATCTGATGAGAACAGGATTAGGCTTGGTGATAATGCATTCTGCATCTTATATGTTCTGTAAATATATAAGATGGCTATTTGACTCAGCCCATGAGAACAATATTAGAGGGAACAGGTATAAAGTAGAAAAGCCTCAAATTTAATTTTCTTTCCCTCATACAATTTTCTTTCTTGTCAAAGTAGGTAATATGTGCAACTGGTTCCCAACAAAATCACTTGATCCTGTATCAAACAACTAATTTAAAAAAAGTAAATTGGGTATCTACTTGATCAAGATGCATGCAACAGTAGATTGTAACAAATACTTCATGGAACAATGGCAAAATTGTGTATTGCCGGGTTGGTTCGGAGAAATAGAGGGAATGTTATCTGTAGTGGGAAAAAATCCAGGTGAACGGTAGGCATGTGGGGATGGAGGAATAATAATAATCTTTGTATTTGAAATAGCGCTTTTCACATCTTCTCAAAGCACTTCACAGAATAGACTGTAAAGTGAATTGACTGTATATTTTGTGGGGAAAACAAATATATTATGCAGTCTTAATATAATTATGCTTTACATTTGATATAGAGAGCTTTCATGTTGAGAGGATGTCTCAAACTGCTTCAGTTGATTTGCACAAAGCACTGTTTTGCTCAGTGATTGGAACATTTGCTCAGAAAATAATGTGGCTGAGGTGGAGTTAACAAAAGAGCATTCTATGGATTGTTTGTGTAAAGATGGCCTGAATAGTTTGTGTACATCTTTAAATGCTCGCTGCCTTTGTTGTTCACAAAGAATGGACAATAGGCTAGATAGGCAGGCAGAGGGCTGCCACGGATAGTGAAAGCAAGAGCCAGTACATTCATTAGATGAGAAGGAAGAGGCAAAAATGAAAAAAAAGCAGCAGCAATTTGTTGGTCAGCCGGGTATCTGACACATGCAGCAAACCACCACAATGTTTAAAAGTATCCAAACCAGATTTCCACCTAAACATGGAAATTCAGTTTATTTGCAAAAGCAATCATGTAATTAATAGTGCTAGTATTTCCTAAATGAAGGCTGTGACCAAATTAGGCATCCTGAGATTTGTACTTGCAAAATGAACATTAACCTTTTCAGCAGAAAGTTTTACATGGCTTATACTTGTCATGAATTCTACCACAATATGGGGTTGATATGAAATATATAATAATAACCCTCAATCCCTTTGCCTTGCCCCCTCTCTCCCCTCTTTCAAGTCCCGCCTGAAAACTTTCCTCTTAGACCGTGCCTATGGCCACCTCCCTCCTCCCGCTGGCTCAGAGTCAGGCTCCACCACTGTAAGCACTCTGAGACACTACCCTGCGTGGAGGGTACTATATGAGTGCAAGTTGTTGTATTACATCTTCGATGTCTCAAAGCGCTTCACAAAATATACTGTAAAGTGAATTAACTGTATATTTTGTGGACGAAACGCAGCAGCCAATTGCACACAGCAGTGACCTACAAACAGTCATGGAATGAGTGACCAATTTATTATTTTTAAGGAATTATTACCCCCGGAAAAGCGATCCGCCAATCAACTAACAACCAGGTTCCTACTTACTGTTAGGTAAACAGAGGCATGTGGAGTAAGGAAACTTGCCCAAGGTTTTGCCCTGCTGGGAATCGAACCCAGGTCTCTCTCTTGCGAGGCAAATGCTCTAATCACTGAGCTACAGGACTCCATATGGAGGTGAAGTAAAGGAAAATCAATGTCAATGCAATTTTTCTACAGTCCTCAGACTACTACCCCCTCCCAACACTGGAAAAAGAACTTATTTTTATGGTTACTGAAAATACCCTATAAAAATAGTTTTATCAAAACATGGAACAAAAAAAACTTAAGAAGTTTATTCATTCCCAGAGCAGCATTCTCTACAGTCTACTATTTATAACCAGTTCCAGTTGCTCACAGCATTGTGATCAATAATTTTGCTGTAAGGATTTAAACGTTAAATGGTAAATGGTGTGAAGTACTTAAAGTTTATAACTTCAGTTTACAGATTACACAATCTATTTGGTCAGAAAAAACACATTGGGTGTAAGCACATTGCTGCTGATGTAAAGTATTTTCTCTAAAATCATTTCTTTTGCTAATGTGAACAAAGAGTTGATTCTAAAAGTCCCGAGGAATTAGACAGCAGGGAAGCTGTTTCTTGCTTTTTGTCTGAGGCATGTAAGATGCAATAGATGATGGCTTGACTCGAATCAAAAGTCTCTATATTCCAAGACTTGTCGTAATGCCAAGATCACCATCTGGTATGTTCCTCTGTGCTGAGCTGGAGCTGGAGCTTCTCAGGAGACTCATTTCCTGAACTCCTGTTCCCAGTAGACAAAGGATGAGCCAGAAATATGTCAGTTTGCTACAGGAGAACCTTTTTGATGCCACCTGGCAACCATCACCTGAGCCTTTCATTTGACTGCATTGTTACAGTTATCACATGCTGTTAAAAAATAACCTGGTACAAAGTGCAAATCAGAAACTAACAGTATGCACATCTGGTCCTGCCAAATCAATGCATTTATAACAACTACTGTCCATCCTTATCTATTGATCAACGTGTTAATTCATTGAATAATAATCATGCTTCACCCAAGGTCTTTTTCACTTCCACCATCTTGAGAAGATTAATTTCTTCACCAGTCCCTCACTGCACTATTAATAAGCATCACTTGAAGATTAAACCAAGGATTGTGGTGGGGGGCTGTCAAGAAAAATTCAAAAGAGAAAAAAAAAGCATTGAAATTGACCATAGATTGAAACAATAGTCAATGTAATAGAAAACTATTTAATGC